CATACAACTTCAAAAGATCAAAAGATACAAAACAGACATAGCCTGAAAAACTTTTCACAATGATATGTTATAGTCAAACTGCAAAAAGTTCAAGACAAGTAGAATTGCAAATACTGTAAGACAAAATCGCAAGTCACATTAATTATACTGCCATTAGGTATCAGCAGAGTCCTTATCAGAGACTTTACATGCCATAGGACATGTTCCTAATTCAGAAACTCCCAACCAAGAATACCATAATCGTTAACGAGGAAGGAAAGAAAAAGAAACACTTTTCAAGACCAGTTCATTTTCAAAGGCAATTTATCATCACCACATTTGCTTCACACACACACACACACACACACACACACACTGCTTAAGTGAATTCTACATGCAGAAGTGGAAAAGCAATAACTGCCATCAAGAAGACAATGAAACCACAAAACCTATGGACAAAGTAGATACACAGAGAACAAGAAAGAATCAAAACTCATCAATACAGTAAACCATCAAATCACAAAGATTAAAACAAGATAGGAAGAATAGAACAAATGGCATTTAAAAGCAATAGAAGAAATTTGAGTAAAAAATGTAATTGCTCCCATGTCTTTAGTAACCTTAACTATAAATGGAACAAAAACCCAGTTAAAAGATAGAGACTTGGGAACTGGAGAATGGCTCAGCAGTAGCTGCTCTTGCAGAGGACCAGAGAGATTTCTAGAACCCACACGACAACTAAGAGTCATCAGTAATTCCAGTCAAAGGGATCCAGTGCCCTCTTCTGGTCTCCACAGGCATTGCACATATGGATGTGTGCACTTACATATACATAGGCAAAACATATCCATAAAATAAAGATAAAATAATTTTTTAATATTTCATTTATTTTTTATTTTATGTGTATGAGTGTTTTGCCTGCATGTGTGTAAATGTACCCATGTCATGCAATGCCCACCGAGGACAGAAGAGGGCATCAGGTCCCCTGAAATTGGAATTACAGAAGGTTATTAGCTACCATGTGGGTGCTGAGACTCAAACCTAGGTTTTCTGCAAGAGCAGCCAGTGCTCTTAATCACTGAGCCATCTCTCCAGTTCCCTAAATTAATTTTTTTAAAGATAAGGACAGACAGAGTAGATATGAAAACAAGACTCAGTGGTGTGCTGCCTACAAGGAACTAACTTCATCAGTTAAGGCTGAAAGTGAAAGGATGGAAAAAGCTACTACACACAGGGAACACAAGAAGAGCTGTTCATACGACAGCCAAAGCAGAACTATATGAAGATGTGAAAAAGAGATGAAGAAAGTCATATAATGATCAAAGGATCATTTCAACAAGATGTAAAAATGATAAACTTATATATGTATTGTCAGATATCTCAATCTTTTAACATAAGCAATGTTAGATTTAAAGGGAGAGAGACATGAATACAATATTTATCTTACTTTACCAATTGACAAATCATCCACACAAAATATCAGTAAAGAAACAGTGGAGTCAAACTATATTAGAGTTCAAATGGACTTGCATATATTTAGAAAATGTTTCATCTCAGAAATACAGAGTACACATCCTTTTCTTCACCACATGGAACATTGCTTAGAAAAGAATTTGTACCAGAACAAAAATAGTCTCAACAAAATGAAAAGGATTGGAACATACTATGCATATTCTCTAACAAGAAAGAATAAAACTACAAATCAAAGCAAAGCAATTTTAGAAACTAGACAAATTCATGGAGACTTAGCCATAAGCTACTTAAAAAATCAATGGAAGAAATCGAATAGTACTGTGAGGAAGTGTATAGTTTAAATAACTCCCTTTCAAAGTAGAAAGATTTAAAAAAAATAGCCAAAGGATGTATCTCAAAGCATTAGGAGAGTAACATTAATCTAAACCCCAAGTCAATAGAGGGAAAGAAACAACTTTAAGAGTAGAAACAAGTGAAATAGAAACTAAAGTTTACAAAGTTCAATGAAACAGAAAGTTAAAACAGTAAAGCATTTGAAAAGATTAATAATAGTATCAAATATTTAGCTGGACCAGGAGAAAAAGAGAGAAGTCAAGTTAACTAAATAAGAAATGAAATAAGAAGGCATTTGGTGCTGATTAATGTTAACTCTCAACTTGACACAACCCACAATCACCTGGAAGAGAATCTTAATGAGGAATTATCTGAACTAGGTTGGCCTTTGAGGATGTCTGTGAGGGATTCTCTTGATTGTTAATTAATGTAGGACAACCCAGCCCAATGTGGGTGGCACCACTGGCCTGGACTGCAGAAGAGTAGAGAAAGCTAGCTGAGTAGTAAACAAGCAAGCAAGCAGGAATGCTTATTCTCTTTGCTTTTCGCTGTGGATGTGATGTAAACAGCTGTTTGAATCTCCTGCCATGGATATCCTGCAATAATGGAGTGCAACCTGGAATTGCAAGACAAAAAATTGCTCTTCTCCACAGTTGGATATGGTCAGGATATTTTATCACAGCAACAGAATTATAGCTAAAGAACCATTACAACTGATAGATCAATAGTATAAAAGATCATTTGAAACTGTTATGAGAACTATATGCCAAAAATGGAAAACGTAGAAGGTGTGGATAAATTTCTAGATATACATAACCTACCAAAATTGAATAATAAGGACAAAAACAGATAAATATACCCAATGAGTTCAAGATTGACTCAGCAATAATGTCGTTCAGTATCATAGAAAAGTCGAATCAGTCTGTATTCTATTAAACTTTCTTTTTAAACAGTCTCCCCATATAGCCCAGTCTGTCCTCAAACTCATAATTCTCCTGCTAATTAGTGGGACTATAAGAGTATGCCAGCATGCCTGGCTTCTATCAAGCTTGTGAAGAGCAATCTTTTTCAACATGTTCCAAGGAATTGAAAGGGAGAGAACGGGTCCAACTCATTCGACCGGGCCAAAAGTATCCTGATATCCAAACCAGAAACAGCTCAACAACAACAAAAAAAGAGAATACCATGGGCCAATATGCCTGTGAACAGAGATCTTAATAACGTGGAAAAGATCATTCACCATGACCAAGTGATGTAAAAATGACTCACAGTGCAAAAAGAAATTAACATATTACATCAAAAACTGAGGAACAATTGCGGCAGAAGAGATGACTCAGCAGTTAAGAGCACTGGCTGCTCTTGCAGAGGACTCAGGTTCAATTCCTATCACCCATATGGTGGCTAACAATTCAGCAGTTAAGAGCACTGGCTGCACTTGCAGAGGACTCAGGTTCAATTCCTATCACCCATATGGTGGCTAACAACGGTCCATAACTCCAGTTCCAGGGACTCCAACATCCTCTTCTTATCTCTGCAGGCATTGAACAACACAGGTACATTTACATACATGCAAGCAATACACTCATACACATAAAATAAAAACAATAAATAAAATATTTTTTTAAATGAGGGACAGAAATCATATGATCATTTCAATAGATGCAGAAAGAGTTGAAAAAAAAAAAGAACATCTCCTCTTAAAACCTTTTGACAAAATAAAAGCTATACAACAAACCAAGAGCCAACACCAATTAAATGGGGGAAAAAGAAAGATCCGGTATGAGACACCCACTCACTGCTCATCTTCAATATAGTACTGGAAGTTTTAGAGAGAGGAATTAGGCAAAGTTAGTAAGAGGCCTACAAAGAGGAAGTCAAATTATCCTTGTTTGCAGGTGATCTGGTACAGTTTCATGATACAAAAGCAACATATAAAACTCAGTAGAATTATTACAGACCAACAATACCATTACTGAATAAGAAATTGTGAAAGTAAACGCACCCACACCAGCCACATTTCTCAGCCACGAATACTGTCAATAAAAATTGATGGAATTAGAAGACTGTTAAATATCATCTGGGGATACAAACTTAATTCTAGAGGCCTTAACAAACAGGACAGAATGCATGAAATCCAGTAGGGGGCTATGAGGGGTGCAGACAGTGGAGGAGATCAAAATACAAATGAGGTATATTGTATGAAATGCACAAAAGTTCAGTGAAAAACATTGAAAAAAAGGTCAGACACAGAAAGACAGTCACCATATATGTTCTCTCTCTTACGCAGAAGTTAAAGGAAAAGGTTCACCTAAATGGCGAATAATGACCACTAAAGGTTGGGAGAGAGGGAAGAACTGATTGACAGTGGCTGGATTTGAACAATACAAGTGCTATGCTTGTATCCAAATATTGATTGTAATTAAAATATTCAATTATTACATCTTAAACAAAAGTTCAAAGTTAAATAAAGGCATATTTCGTTATTCACTTAAAAAAGTAGGAATTATTTGCCTTTTTTTCAAAGTGGTAAGAGATTTTCTGGAACCAAATATGAGTGACCATGCCTAAGAACACAGATTTATGTCATTCCAAAGTCCATGTTCCAAAGGGAACAAAGAAAGCCCAAAATCAAGACCCTCTTCAAATGCATGCTTTTGAGTGTTTCATTCTGTTTTAATGTTTGGGTTGTTAGCCTTAGTCTTTAACAGCTGTGCTATCCCTCCAGCCCATCATTCAATTTAAAATTTTAGACATGCATTTTCTAGTCATTCCAAATATCTATGTTTAAGGCATTTTTATAAAAATTTCAAATAAATATGATGTACTTTCATTTTTATTGCTATAGAGAAGAATAGTTTATGGTTTGGATATGAAAGCTATTCAGATTCTATTTCACAAATAATAAATTTAACAATTAAAATAAATTAAAACAATGTTAAATGATGAATTAAATAATTTACTTTGTGCATAACTTCTCAGAACTTTCCTGTTACAATCCTGAAGAGAGTCTCATGCAAATTTTTGGTCTCTCAATTTTCTCATTTGCCTAAAGGGCCTCAGACATATAGACTGGATTTCAATAGCTAGTTAATGCATTTTTCAAAGGTAAGAACATATATTATGCTTTTCTAGGGCATCTATTTTCATACAGCATTATTAAATTCATTTTCCAATAACGTTTCACAAATTTTCATGTAATTTAATTTTATTTGTAGAAAAAGAATGCCCTGTTCCAGTTCTTGATGCAAATGTAAATGCTCATCCAAAGCAAGAAAAATACAAACTTGGGGATCTGATGAAATTCTCATGTAGACGAAGACTTACAAGAGTTGGACCAAATTCAGTTCAGTGCTACCAGTTTGGGTGGTCCCCTCATTTCCCAACATGCAAAGGTCGATGTTTAATTTTTCAATGTGATGAAAAAAACAGATTTTATATTAATGCCAGTGTATTTTATTTTATTATATAAATTAATCTCTAAAATATTGGAAGGAGGCTCAAGCAGGATATTTAAATATAGAAAGGATGTAAGATGGCATTAAGAAATTATTGTGAATTTTGTGAAATATAAGATGTTCTGAATATATAGGCAAATCTCTATATTAGATAAGCATTCTGAAGAACTTGGGAGTAAAATCTCACTGTCCATCAAATACTTTACAAAACAAGTGAGAAAGAGGATGAAGTGCAAACATTTTATCTCGATGATTGGTATGTGATATTCATCACATACTGTTTGTCCTATCATTTGCTCAAATTTATGCATAAGGAAAAAAGCAACATTTGAGCAAACAAAAATAGTATATGCACTATGTATGCAGCAAAAATAGAGCTGGAAAAATAGGAATGCAGTGAAAATGTAATGATGATCTAAATCAATCAAAATGTCAATTTCTGTGTGCTAGATCTTATGATTAGACAATAAATAAGCACTTGTTTACATTTTCTTTATGACAGAGCAAGTGCAATCATGTGGTCTTCCTCCCCAGCTCCCCAGTGGTAAAGTTAAGGAGATACAGAAAGAAGAATACAAACATGGTGAAATAGTGGAATATGACTGCAATCCCAATTTTATAATGAAGGGACCAAAGAAAATACAATGCATGGATGCAGAGTGGACAAGTTTGCCTACTTGCGTTGGTAAACAGATATTAGTATTTAAGTGTAATAGTTTCTTTTTTATTGTGTACATATATCTAGATACATATGTAAATATATTTTACATATTTTAAAAGTAGATATATAATATTTTACATTTTTCTAGAACAACTTAAAACATGTGGATATCTACCTGAACTCAAGCACGGCTATGTCCTTCATCCTGCTCCTTCCTATCAACATGGAGTTTCAGTTGTATTGACTTGCAAAAAGACATACACAATGATTGGCAATAACACTGTAACTTGTATTAGTGGAACGTGGACAGAATTTCCTACATGTGTTGGTAAGATTATACTTCCAAACATTTTGTTTGATTGTTTACAATTTTGATTGGGACTACATAAAATTTATAAATAGTGTAATAATCACCACTGTGTTAATACTGACTCTCCCAGGAATTTAATACATCAGCCTTTTATTCAGGTATCCTTGGATTTTACTTGTATAATGAATGAAATTGTTCATTAATTTACATATTTGAAAATTTATACTTTCTATGTACAAGAATATCATATAATTGTGTGTGCTGATTTTATTTCCAGCAATGTTGTTGAATTCCTACAGTAGTTCTAATATTAAATTTAGATATTTTATTTCTATAAATAATTACTGTTTAAACTTTTTTTATTATTTTTGTTATATTCTTACCTCAGAAAGTTCTGGAAACAAGAATCAAAATAATACTTTATTCCATCAAATCCTAGAGTGTCTGGAATCTATTGGCGATTAGGACCAAACACTTGGCTTTATACCTGTTCTTCTGTGCCCATAAATCACCAGTCTAGATTTTCTTATTGATCCTTCTGTATTTCCTCCATGAAAGCAATGGATTCATTCCAATTTTTCCACCACCCTGTAGCTGTGTCGTTATCTTGCTTTCTAATTGCATCAGGACACATAATGCATAACTATTTTCAAGTTTGTCCTTTCTTTTTCCTGACATTTCAAAGCCCCCCCCCAAAAAATAGGCTAAGTGTAGCTCCAGAAAGAGTATCCTCCAATCAAACCCCTGAACCAAGGGAATCATCTAGCACTTAAATTCCCCAGACAACTTTCTGACATATTTGTCTGTCAATCAGAGATAGGATACAATTTGGGGGAGTATTTTATGTATTTTTTTCAATAGTATAGCCCTATCATACAAACGAGGCCAGGAATAATTTTTGTGATACTTATGAAAAGCATCAAACATAATATGCTATTAATATTTCAAATATTTTTGAGAGTTTAGTTTGTGCTTAATATTCCTGTCATTAATTAATACATTGATTTCATAGCTACACATGAGCTTAGGAAGTGTGAACGATCAAAGCTTGGAACAAGAACAGTCATCAGACCACATCTGACTGAATTTAATCATAATGCCAGAATAAATTATAAATGTTCTGGAACATACAAATACAAGCAAACAGTCTGCATTAATGGGAAATGGGAACCTGAACCAGACTGCATAGGTAAGATTTGTTTGAACCATTTTGTTGATCCTGAAAATTCTTTAAACTTTTTCTCTAATATTTACTGTGGCATATAAGTTTTCAGCTGAACACAAATTTGGTAATTATTCACAATCCTCTTTTCAGACAAATATTCTCCTCTAAAATCACTGACTTTCTGGTAAAGACAATGGAGTAAAGCCATTTTTATCCTATTCTACACAGTCTCTGATAGCCTGAAAAGAAAAAGTAAAGAGCTCTAGAAGTATATCAAAACTCAGTAGTCAATGACATTCAGAAATAAAAGTAAAACTGCACATTGTAAACTTAACTAAAGCATGCTTGCAATTTTTTAAATATTTTAATATTTTATTATTTTTTTATATTTTATTTATTATTTTTATTTTATGTGTATGAGTGTATTGCCTGCATGTATGTGAGTACACCCGCGTCATGCAATGCCCTCGGAGGACAGAAGAGGATGTTGGATCCCCTGGAACTAGAGTTACAGACAGTTGTTAGCAGCCATGTGGGCAATGGGATTCGAACCCAGGTCTTCTGCAAGAACAACCAGTGTTCTTAACTGCTGAGCAATCTCTCCAGCCCCCGCATACTTGCAATTTTGAAAAAGATTTTAGTCTGAGTGGAAAGTATTCTGAGACTCGAGTCTATCACATTTGAACGTTGATCACATTTGCCTCCCTCATGGCCTCCCTTTCCTCCTGCCTAGCCCCTGGCTAGTCCTCTTCATGCTCCAAGACAGTCTTATTTCTGACTTCATGTTATCAATGTGTACAAGCAATTTCATTTCATTGTGTATATACAACATATTTACTTTATCCATTTACCTGTTCACAAATTCTTAAGCTGATTCCATAATTCTTCCATAACTGTGGCTATTGTAAATATTACTTTAGTAACTATAGATGGCAAGTATCTCTGTGGTTTCGGAATGTACTCAGGAGTGCTATAGCTAGGACATAAGGCCATATTGTTTTTTAGGAACGTCTATATTAATTTTCATGTTCCTAGAGAAACTTACATTCCCATCTGCAATGTGAAGATTTGTATTTCTCATGCATCCTCACCAGCATCTGTTGTTACTTACTTTCTTGGGTCATTCTGACTGGGGTGAAATGGAATCTCAGTGTAGTTTTAATTACCACTTCCCTTATGGGTAATGATGGTGAATACGTTTTTCACATTTGGTGTTCATCTGCACTTCATCTTCTGAAAACTTAATTCCATTAGTCTATTTGCTGTGTTGTCTGGTTTTTGTAGTTTTTTAGTTCTTTATGTATTTTAAATATTAATCATCTGTCAAATGCATAGGTAGCAAACATTTTTATTCACTCTATAGGCTATCTTTTCACTCCATTGTTGCTTTTGTTGTGCAGAAGATTTTTTAATTTCAATCATTCCCATTTGTTAGTTCTTGATTTTATTTCCTGAGCCATTGGAGTCCTTTGCAGTAAGTCCTTACCTATGTTTATCTTTATATTATTTTCCCTATAACTTCCTCCAACAGTTCTAGAGCTTCAAGTCTTAGGTTAAGGTCGTTGGTCTACTTTGGACTGATTTTTATACAGGGTGAGAGATAGCTTCATTCCTTTGTGTGTACATCCCAAGTTTTGCCAGTCCCTGTTGCTGAAATGGCTATCTTTTCTTTAAACATATGGTTCCAGCATCTTTGTCAAAAACCAAATGGCTGTAGTTATGTAGATTTAATTTGGGTACTCTGTTCTCATCCATTGATCCATATGTTTTTTGTGCCAATGTCATATTTTTCCTAGACCTCTCTAGTATACTTTGAAATCAAGTTCGGTGATAAATCCCTTATTAGTCTTTTTACTCATGACTGTTTTGGCTACTTGGGGTATTTGGTATTTCCATAGGAATTTCAAGATTGTTTTTCCCATTTCTGTGAAGAATATCATTGAAATTTTTTGATGTGGATTTTATAGAACTATCAGAGCACGTTAAATAATATATTTTCACATTATTAATTCTGCCTACTCATGAGGACATATATTCCATCTTCTAGTGTCTTCTTCAATTTCTTTCTTCTTTATGTTAAGCTTTTGATTGTAGACATCCTTTCTTTCCATGGATAGGTTTATTTCTAGGTATTTTTAAAAAGTTATTTTTAATGGTATTGTTTTCCTTAACTCTTTCCCATTATGTTCGCTATAGTTGTATAGAAAAGCAACTGAGTTTTGCATGCTATTTTTTAAATATTACTACTTTGCTGAGAGTGTTATCAGTGTTAAGAGTTTTCTAGAAGAATCTTTAGTCTATGGTGTATAGGATCATGTCTTCTGAAAATAGACATATAGGAAGATTATGTGTCAAAAAAGCAAAAACAAAAAGGAAGAAACCACGAAGGCAATGAGACACCTACACATATATATTTATATAACGCTGTTCACAATAGTCAAGTTATAGGATCAGCCTAGATGTCTGTCAAAAGATGAATCCATAAAGAAAATATAGATAGATAGATAGATAGATAGATAGATAGATAGATAGATAGATAGATAGATAGATAGATAGATAGATAGATAGATAGATAGATAGATAGATAGATAGATAGATAGATAGATAGATAGATAGATAGATAGATAGATAGATAGATAGATAGATGATAGATAGATAGATAGATAGATAGATAGATAGATAGATAGATGATGGATAGATGATAGATAGATAGATAGATAGACAGATGATAGATAGATAGATAGATAGATGATAGATCTATAGTTAGCTCATGTATATTCCTACCACTGAGCCACATTCTTTCTCAATCACTTTCCAGCTTACACATTGAAGCAATGCCTCTCACTGGAACCCAGGGTTTGCTGATTTGGCTAGTCTAGATAGCTAGCTTGCTCTGAGTATCCCCAATCTTTTCCTCCCAAATGTTCAAATTACAGGCCAGCCACCAAACCCACCTGGCATTTATAGGTACAGGGGATCCAATTCCTCATGCTTGCACAGCAAGTGGCTTGCCCTCTGAGTCATCTCCCCAGCCCCTTCAGTATTGGTTTTAAATGAAGATAGTATATTCGGGGGGGGAAGATATTTATTGCTTTTACACAGTAATCTTGGGAGAAGTATCAGTAGACCATAGCCCCATTCTGAGAAAAACAAAAACAAAAACGAGTGGAAGGAGCATTGCAGGGAATGGTGCTTTAGCATCCAGATTTGTCATTTAAAACTTCTTTAAGATCAAACCAACCAACCAGTGATACGTGCACTGTCAGTCCAGCACAGACAGTGTACAATGAAAATTGTCAGCCATACTCAAAGTCAAAAAATATGCAAAATATTAAATACTGCCTATCTATCATATTAGGTCATTAGAGGGTGGCTCAATTGGAGCTGTCGTGGCTATCATTTTGTAATGCTGCCATTGTTAGTTTTTTTACTCTAACCTGTGTAAGTCATATGTCTTTACTTTTTGGATTCATATGAGTCAAATACACAAAATGTAAAAAGATAAATTTTAAATTTTACAGTGATACCAACAGAATCATGAGTAGGGACCAGGTATCATAAAACACACCTTTAACCCCAGCACTTGGCAGGTGAATCTCTGTGAAATCAAGGCCAGCCTGGTCCACATAGGGAGTTCCAGGCCAGCTGGGGTTACAGAGAAATCCTGTCGAAAGAAAGAAAGAAAGAAAGAAAGAAAGAAAGAAAGAAAGAAAGAAAGAAAGAAAGAAAGAAAGAAAGAAAGAGAGAAGGGAGGGAGGGAGGGAGGGAGGGAAGTTAGAATGAAGGTCCTGAGAATCGTCAAAGCTGCAGTTAACTGTGCAAATGTATTTTGAAACTTTAAACTATATTACCATGAACTACATTTATTACTATAGCCTCACATTTGTGTGTGTATGTGTATGTGTATCTGTGTGTGGAGAAAGGGAGGGAGGGAAAGAAAAACAGAGGAGAAATTTGTTGAATGTTCCATTATCCTGAAATACTATACTACTGAGCTGTTTTCCTTAATTTGTATTAATGAAATAATTTTTACTACTTTATTTTGTAGAAAAAAAGACAGAACTCTGCCCACCTCCACCACAGATACCTAATGCTCAGAATATGGTAACCACTGTGAATTATCAGGATGGGGAAACAGTAGCTGTTCTATGCAAAGAAAATTACCTACTATCAGAGGCAAAAGATATTGTATGTAAAAATGGACATTGGCAGTCATTACCACAATGCATTGGTTAGTAGTTACCTACATAATTTCGTTTAAAAATTGGTTAGTAATCTTAGCTTTAGTCACAAAATGGAAGAAAAATAGCTGCTAACTTACCTGTTACATGTATTCTGAACCATTGAAATTGCTGTCTAGGTCACCAATTCTGTCTTTCAATATTTTTTACCCTGAGAACTGTCTCTAGAGTGAAGACAGTAAAATCAAATTTCATATCTCCTAAATGCTCAGTTCAGAGATCTGAGCCTTAATAACCAGTGTGAGATGTCAAATGAGCAGTTTGGAATTGTTCAGGACTAGAATTCAAAATTAGCAGCTGTTAGTATTTAGGTGCAATTTAATGCTATGATGCTACATGGTATGACACAGGATCTTAAATAACTAAAAATGAAAGGGTGGCAAAGGGAGCCAGCCATGATGACATCTTCAGTACAGATATGGATGAAAAGGAGTGAGAGTTATAGGAGAAAAATGAGGAGGAGGCTGGAGAGGACCATTTCCATTTCTACTATAAAGTTACCTACTGAGGAGACATACTAGTTGATTTGGGCTTATAGTGTTGCAGGCTCTATTCCATAATGGGTTAGCCTCGTTATTTGAGTCTGTAGTGAGAAAACACATCATAGAAGGAACAGTGCAGAGCCAAACTACTTACACCATTAGAAAAAGACACGGTCCCACAATCCCTTGAAGACATTCCCAATGGCCTCTCACAAGGCCCCACTACCTAAAAGTTCTACCTATGAGCCAAATCTTAGCATGCAAGCCTCTTAAGAATGCTTACCCAAGTCACCACAACTGGCATCCCAGAAGCAATGTCAAAGATTTATTTCAGAGTGGTGTATTTCACAGTAAGACTGCTTGAAATTGAGAAAAATTCCTGGTAACTTAGATATCTAAAAATAAAAAACCGAGTATTTAGTCTAGAGATGTTCACTAGTGAGTAAAAAGATAATTGATGTATATTCAAAAAGAATGTGAGTGATAAGAACGGGGACCCAAGGAATGAGTAGGCATAATCTGAAATGAGGCAGTAAACAGAGACCAGGTGTGACATTTTCAACATGTTTGTAGGTTGATGAATGACTGAGGAGTGAGTAGACAGTGAAAAATCTTTCCAGAAGAAGGGACACGGTCTTTATTCCAAAGGAAGAATAATATTAGGCCCACCTGAAGGACTTACTCTGCAAAAGCTAAAATACAATTTAATAAAACACAATGCAGAACAAATTATTGAGGGTAGTTACTTATTTGGCAAATTTCTCCTTATAACTTTGGTAATATGTGAAGTAACACCAATCAATAACTTTAATTTATACTAATCAATCTTAGTATGAAGTTGAAACTTTCATTGTCAAGAAAAATGCCTATATAGTGAGTTTAAAAAGTAAATTTGGAAAAGTATGTATTATAACCCATTTTGAACAAAAGTAAAACTTTATGATCATATACCATTAAATACATGTTACTTGCATGCAATAAAAGCTGCCCTTGAAAATAAAAATGAAAAGTAATTCTTAGAATAAAAATGGAATATCAAGAAATGGGCAGACTAGAGCAAAGGTTTAATAATCTATAATGCTTTAAATAAAAATTTTGGTTAAATTGCCAGGCATAGCAGCACACACCGTTAATCCCAGCACTCAGGAGGCAGAGGCAGGCAGATATCTGTGAGTTCAAGGCCAGCCTGGTCTGCATAGCGAGTTCTAGATCAGCTGGGGCTACAGGGAGACTGCCTCAAAAAGACAAAAAAAAATTTTTTTTTGTTAAATTATATATGCCCAAGACTTTATGTGAATAAAATTAGGAAGAAAGGGAGTAATATTGCAGAATGTTTTAATAATAACATTGTATGAAAGAAATTTCACAGTTACTTGTATTATAAGATTATCATATGAGATAATGAAGGTATGGAGTGTGGCTCTTAATTCATATTATTGCATTTAAACTAGTATGATATCTTTCTACCAAGTAATAAATGCTATTTTCCAGAGTCTGAAGGCTTTTGTGGGCCACCTCCACCTATTAACAATGGAGATATCATCTCTTTCCAACTGTGGGCATATCCTTCAGGATCGACAGTGGACTACAGTTGCCAGGCCTTCTATAAACCCCAGGGCTCCACAAAGGTGATATGCCAAAATGGACAGTGGTCAGATCCTCCAAAGTGCTTGGGTGAGTTTTTAACATCGTCTTGAAATGTGAGGCTTCATAATTATAGTATAATTATTATGGAATAATTTCATAGAATGATAGTTATTTCAATTTCATTCATCCTAAACCTTTTCTTACCTGATGTAAATATGTAAGGAAATGCATAAAAAAATTTACTTAAATAAAAAAGAAAGAATGGGGGTTACAGGGAGCACAGTGGTAAGGGGAATAAGGGTAAATTAAATGATGCGTACGCATGAAAATTTCCCAGTGAAACCCACTACCCTGGATATTAACACAAAATAATTTTTAAAAAAACAACAAATTAAATTTTGAGACCTAAATATCATGAGATATATTATGCAACTCCACAATGACTCTCAAAAAACATGTTTAAGCACAAGACCTATTCTTATACAATTAAACATCTTCATATCATTAAATTGTACCTAGAAGTTGTTCACAATGACCATTTTCAAATACCTGTTTAGAAGAATTTTTATTTATTGTTATTTAAGGTCCTACTTATAAACCAGAAAGCTTTTTATTAGAACTCTTAGTGGATGACTTGTTGACATGACTTTTATTTGTATATATCAAGATAAGAAAGATAGAAAAATTCAAAATACCTAGCAAGCTATTTACATGTGTTTATTCTGGTAATCAGCTTTCTTTGACTATAATAAATATCTGAGACGAATCAACTTATAAAGAGGATAAAATTTAATTTTGCATACAGTTTGAGATGTTTCAGTCCATGGGTGGTTGGCCTCATTACCTTTGAGCTTGTGGTAACATCCTGGCAAAGTGTATAGTGGAGCCAAACCACTGACTTCATCATGTGTAAATGAAAGAGAAAAAGAGAAAGAGACCGGAGTCCCACTATCCCTTTTAGGGTCCAGTGTCAGGTGACCTAACCCCATCTCCCCAGGCACCACTTCTTAATGTTTGAGTCTCCAAATACTGTCAAGCTGGTGACTAAGCTTTAACACAAAATCTTCAGGGTACATCTAAGACCCCAAATACAATATTCATTATGGACTAAGCTTTATCACATCATCCTTCAAAGATATCTAAGACCCAAAATATATTACTCAGTATGTTTTCTTTCACCCTATTCTAAAGAAAATGTTAAATTTTACCCTCACAGCTAAGAACTGCTCTGCCATGTGCTATCTGAAAAATATTCAATAAAAACTCTTGAATTCTCCTGAGTATAAATAACTTTGTATACAAAATGAAGTTCTCTTGGCTTTTGCTCCTGTAATATCTCCTTAAATTGGGCCAAGGCTTATGCAGCATCTTCTGAACAGTTCTTGTATCATATATCATGGGCCAATTATATATACACACATACATCACTTAGTAGCACATTATTGTGTTATTATTTACTCAAAGGAATATTATCTGAATTGAAATTACTGAATTTAAGAATGAATGGAATCAGGGGTGAGTGGGAGAAGATAGCAAGGCTTTTCTTTTTTTGTATTTTTAAATTTTATTTTTATTTTACATATATGAGTGTTTTGCTGTATGTGTGTAAAATACATCATGTGTCTGCAATGCCCTCAGGGGTCAGAAGAGAGTGTCAGATCCCCTGAAACTTGTCTTACAGACAATTATGAGCCTCCATGTGAGTGCTAGGAACTGAATTCAGGTCCTCTGCAAGAGCAGCAAATGTCTTAAGCACTAAGCGATCGCTCCAGCCCCTAGAGAAGCATTTTAAAGGAAGTCTTGTGTCCTCAATGTCCTTTAGGGGACAGAGGACTAGATCTGTACAAAATAAGGACCGTAATTGTTCCTTGTCCAAGAGTCAGGTCCTGGAAGAAAATAAATTTCAAGAGTACCCAACAGATTTACTTTACTTATATTTCCATTTCTGATGTACATTCATAAAATACCCGGGGAAATGAGTTATAAATAAATCTGAAAGACCTCATTCAATAAATACAAAAATTCTCTTGGATAAGCATGCTGGGTAAAGGCTTTCCAGTGTGCATACCCTCAGGTCATACATACACCTCAGCAACCCCTCAGTTATCTCGATAAGTAAGCTCAATAAATTCATTGGTTCCCCAGGAAAACTTTAATCAAACATTGGCTTGACACTAGAAACTTAAAAGGGAATAAGCATTGTTTAGCATCCCCAGGAAAAGAAGTCTCACAACAGATGAAAAACTTATTCGTTAATGCTATTATGTCTCATAATTATTTTTAAAAAAGAAAATGAAAATATAAACGATGTTAAAAGGATATGAGAATGGAGATATTTTCCGAAACAGAAAAACTGAGAAAGCCTAAGCAAGTAATGAAGGTCTATGTAAGTTTGTTATGATATATAAAGGATGAGACAAAATAGCAAGACTTTTCTAGAAAACAAAGTTTCACAACAGGTGAGCTCACAGATGTTTACAATGAGGTAAGGGGAATCTAAATAGACATCAAATATGATAGGCTCTGGTAGTATCATTGATAAATAGCTATTTTTTAAGATTATGTCCCATGAATATTCAAAGGAATTTTTTAAAGATATACTTTTATAATTCATTTTCTGTGCACTGTATCAGCTAGAAAAAATAACAAGCTGTGTGTATAGAAACCACTGATGTAAAAGAATTTGGAGTTAGGAAAGGAATAGATAATGCTAATCCCAGTAACACATTTTCATTTGACTCTATTTAAGGCATGGACTTTAGGCAGGTGAAAGGAAGCAATTAAGAGGACAGACTCAGAAGTCACTGTAGGGTCACGTGACACTGGGAAGTCCTCTCTGACAGTCCATGGAAATAGTGTGTGCTCTTTAGAGATGATGCACACAAAGAGCTAAAAATAGGACCTGAGATAGCTCGATAAATATGAATTATTACTAGTCATCATTTTATGTAATCCCAAAATATTCTTACATGCCATGTCATTTTTCTACAAAAGGCAAAGGTATATTCTTATTTATTCAGGTTTTTTTTTTATTTCTTTCAGATGCATGTGTAATATTGGAAGAAGTAATGGAAAAAAATAACATACAATTAAAATGGACAAACAACAAAAAACTTTATGTGAAAACAGGGGACACTGTTGAATTTGAATGCAAATTAAAATACAAAGCAAAGACACCATTACACTCATTTCGAACAACCTGTAATGAAGGGGAATTTCAATATCCTGTGTGTGAGTGAAGCAAGCAGAGTTTCCTGGAATATACTCTCAGAAGTAACCTCATGAATGATCAGCATCTCATTCTATAGCCAATACTGTAATTGTATTTTATTCTATCAACTAGTGCTTAAGTTTTTTAGAACTCTGATTTTCACAGTCTCAAAAATGTATAAACTGAGAGAACAATGCTTCACTTGTTTGAGTGTGGGTCTCTTAGTCATAAACTTACACAGAAAGATAATATATGCCCTTAATTAATCTAATTCTACCTAAGCTCTTCTAATTGTTTTAAATATGTGAGGTAATTCTATAGGTTTTTTTATCAACTTCTTTCCAGAGAAAATGGAAATGTTATACTAATTGATATTTATGTTAATATTGCTTGCATACAATATTAACATAATATAATAGCATATCATATAATTGTGCTTATAGCAAGCATTAATAAACATCTGTAAGTTCTCTAATATGACTCTAGTGTCAAATAGTGAACCTCCCTTAAAGGACAAAATACAGCATCTTCCAAAAATGAATAGAAGGTAGAAATCTAAACAAGTCCCAGTATAGAAGTTCTAATCTAGTCAAAGGGACTGTGTACATAGAATAAGGTGAGGGTTCCTAGTTTATGAAAACTGTCTACATAAAATAAGTACATAAAATAGTGTTTTATAAATAAATACAATGTTTCTTTATTAATTTTCCTGTATTTTATAATGTTCACTTTAAACAGCTATTTTATACATATATAATCAGAATAATTACAAAAAGTGACTAAACATCACAGCAATAGAAAACGAGTGTTAAGGCTCTGTTGGTCATGTGTTGGCTTCATGCAAGCCATTGATCATTTTTGAATTTCATTTTCATTTTCTTTTTGAGAATGTACAAAAAAATTTTAAGAATTCTTTCTTAATTACTTTTCTGTTGCTTTGATAAAACATCATGATGAAACCATTTTATAAAAGGAAGAATTTATTTGGCTTATGGTTCCAGAGGGATAAGAGTCTCTCTTGATAGGGAGGCATAGTGGCAGAGGCAGCCAGGGCAAGAAGCAAAACATCACACCCTCAAGCAAGAGCAGAAAGCAGAGAGAGAAACTGGAAGTGGGGTAAGGTTGTGAACTCTAAAAACTCACCCTCACTGACAGTGACATGCTTCATCCAGCATGACCACACCTCCTTAACTTCCACAAATAAAACCACCAATTGGGGCCAAGTATTCGAATACTTGGAACTTATTGGAGACATTTCTCATTCAAACCACCACATTCCACACCCTGGCCCCCATATTCTAATGACAATATCATAATACAAAGTGTTTTAGTTCAATCTCAAAAGTCCTTATATTCTTACACTGTCTTAACACTGTTCAAACATCCAACATCCAAAATATCTTTTAAGACTCAAAGTACTCTCTTAACTGTATGTCCCTCTAAATTTTCTCCTTCCTGCTCTCTGTTTGACCCACCCTCACTCTCTTCAGGGTGTCTTGTTCTGGGTGCTATTAGACAAACCATATAGCACACCTTTATCTGAATTTTTCATAGTTTATGTATTTGGTGGAAGGGAAAGACTTACAAGGAAATGAACACCCGACACCTGGCACCCAGCTCTGCGTGGCTTGGCCCGCTGTTCCAGATCATTTCTGCACCCACCCACAGTCTCCATGAGCTTTCACCCATGCATCATGAGCCCACCATCTCACCCCAGGTCAGTAAATGCCCCCTCTCACGTCCATGCAGGTGAGACACCAGGGCCATCTTTTTCACTTGCTATGCTTCTGTCCAAGATGACATCAAAAGCCCTTCCCTCCACAGCTAACTCTCCACAGTCAATCCTCTGCAGCAGGTCCCACCTCTCAGAGGAACCAGGCCTTTTGGGAACACACTCCACCCTTTCCCTCTACTTTTACAATCTTTCCACCAATTTTCCACTAAGGTCCCTGAGCCTTAAAGGGGGTGATAGATGCGGGGCGATTTCTCTTGTACCATGGTGAGATAGTGACTTCTTGGGCCTCCCCATTATTCATCTGTAAGCCATGGCCATTGATCTATCTCAGTGGTGTTTCTTCCACTATAAAGACAAATGGAAGGAAGTAGACAATCTAAACAAACATGAATGTAAATACGAATACCTAGAGGATATCCCAGTAGGTGTACTATATTCATTAAACAGTATACTTATAATGGCTTCCCCATTAGGGCCTGTAACCTTTCTCAACACAGGGGTTTGACCTGGCTGACAGCACCAGATGTGTGTTCCACCCCGAGGAGTGGGCCTTATCCAATTAGAAATTTGTCAGTTGTACGTATGTTGGTCAAGCCATTAGGGAACTTTCAGGCATTGCTTAGCATGTCCATAGTGTGCAGCACGTGGGGTCCATTGTTGAGTAGACTCATAGGAGATCCTTTCTTCCCCAACCATCTGCATAGCACCTTCTGGCACTATGAACATCATCCATCCAGTGGCATGGAGTTTTTTGGCTAAGTCTCAGCTCCAGCTCTTCTTCTCCTCCCACGCTCACATCATGCAATGTCTTCAGCAACATGGGCTTACTGACCTTTCTAGTGTACAACTGACATTAGTGGCAATAGCCTTGGTGAATTTGAAGACCTCTAGGATCTCTCTCTGACCAACAGCTCATAGGGGGGCAACCCACCCCTGGTACTGTAGATTTTCTTAACAGTTGTATGGTTTGGGAGCCTTTGTTTTTGTCTTACCAAACCATAAAACTCCTAAGAATATTACAGCTATAGCTGGCTTTTGCTTCTTCAGGTATCTTTCAAATCGGTTTCACATCTGTCAAAGGACAGTTAACATTATCTATTAAATCAATCACAGACAAGGTCAAACACAGCATGGAAAGGTTTTATCCATTTGTATTAACTTTTTTCTCCATAGATCCTTGTTAGGTACCATAGCATGGGTATGAGGCATTAATTTGGTTAGTTCTTTACTATCTTTAGTTATCCCTTTGGAGTCATTTCACACTTGGGGGATTTTACATGGAGTCTCTTTGTTTTCTTTTATTCTTGATACACTTACGGGTGTTGCTCCAGTTGCCTGACCCTGCATTGGGCTAAGGAGTGGGGGTTTCTCCTGTTCCTGCTGCACCTCTTGGTTCCCTGAGTCAGGCAGGCCCTGGGTCTGCCTCCTGACTGTAGCCATATCTGTCATCTCTCCATTGACCACAACCTGGTTGCTGGGAGATGCCTTGGTGGGAAAAAATGCCCCCACTCCTAGTGTAGCCTTTATCAAAAGAGAAATGCACATTATTTAATCTTTGGGTATTCTTAACCACCCCTGGGACAGTTTTTATTCTTTGAATGCCTTTTGTAAACTGTTGTTCTGGTTTTAAAGCCTTCCAGAAACTCTTTAGTGCTAAATTTGGTATTCTGTCAATTTTTTTTCTCTGGGAATTTGGGCTCAACAAAAGTCTTGCCACATTTGTCTTTGAGTAACCCAAACAGACCATTTTTTCTCCCTGGTCTCATTTCTATCTCTTATAGTGTGGTCTGTTATTCTACAGACACATTTTACATGCTGGATAGAATCATTTACATCTGCTAAAGCTTCTCTCATTTCACAAAGATCCTGTCCCATTAAAGGGCTTAGCAAAACCACTAAAGCTCCATACAATTTTTGAGGTCCCAGTTGAATTAACCTTTCCTTTATATCTCTGGTAAACACAGTCTTATCTGGCCCAGTGAACTGGATATCATATGTTGCTTTTCTCATACCTAGTTCTCTCAGTAATGCCTTTCCCTCCTTCACAGTCCTCCAGCCTTTGTAAACTATCAGAATTTCACTTGGTAATGACCATGTATCCCCAATGCCTTCCATCAGCCATCCCATTAAGGACTTCTCCCCTGCATTGGCCTAGGTTGAACAGCCTATATCTGCAAGGACAGATGGGTGATTATATAACTCAGCTGTGAAGCTTCTGAAGGACTTAGACTGATGTCATTTGCTCCCATGTCCCACACTCTCACAAGCCATGCAGCTAGGCACTCTTTGATTGCTTGCTGGTAAGTTTTTCCTAGTTTTAACAGTTCCAGTGTGGAATATTTCCTAGTTACAGCACTGTTAGCGTTTTTTTCCTTTTGTATCAATGGTTGAATCTGAGGGACAGCTTTAGCTACTTTTATTTTTAGATCATCTCCTTTTTTCTATTATCTGTCCTTTCCGCTGAGTCCTTACACCTTACACCTGTCGCATTTTTTTTTCCTCTCTCTCAAGCTCTGTACCTGGGTCTTCCAGTACTTCACTAGCCTTTTCAGCTTTCCCTGCCTTGGGGCACATCTTTTATTATGCAAAATGGCCCCACCTCCTCTCTGGGTTTTCAGCTAGTGTCCACAGTCTGCAGCAGTTTTTCTAATGCTTCTATAACCTTTAACAAATCTTCATATATCCACAACTGGGCTATTTCCCAACATTAACAACACAGATGTGGCCCATGCTTCTGCATGGCTGGCCTCTTTTTAGTTATATATTTTATAATCCATTGTAAAATCCACACCAGCACTGCCATCAGCTCTCTAGCTTTTTCCAAACTTCTTCAGTTTGTCATTTTTAGCACCATCATCCTGCTGACTTGCGCCAATTTGTCCCATTAAATTTTCTCCTTCCTGCTGTTTGACCCACCCTCACTCTCTCAGGGTCTCTTGCTCTGGGCACTATTAGACAAACCATATAGCACATCTTTATCTGAATTTTTCATAGCTGCTATATTTGGTGGTGGGGAGGGACTTAAAAAGAAATGAACACCCGACACCTGGCACCCAGCTCTGCACGACTTGATCCGCTATTCCAAGTCACTTCCGTGCCCACCCACAGTCTCTGTTAGCTTTTGCCCATGCATTGTGAGACCACAGTCTAATCCCAGGTCAGTAAATTCCCCCTCTTGCATCCATGTAGGTGAGACGCCAGGGCCACCTTTTTCACACATGTGCTTCTGTCCAAGATGGTGTCAAAAGCCCCTCCCTCCAGAGCTAACTCTCCACAGTCAATTCTCTGCAGCAGGTCCCACCCCTCGAAGGAATCAGGCCCTTTGGGAACACACTGTATCATCCTATAATGTGAAAAACACATTACATATTTCCAATATATAATGACACAGACCACATATTTCCATTCCAAAAGGAAGGACTGGGGCATAGTTAAAAAAAAAAAAAAACAAGACTGGAACCCAGCAGGGCCAATATCAAGTCCTCAACTCCATGTCCTATATCTAGGATTTTAGTTTAATAGTTTAAAAGGACTTAGATAGTTCTGCCTCTCCAAATTTACTGCCTACAACATATATCTTCCCCTTGGACTGGTTCTACTTCCTGTATACAGCTCTCTTTGACAGATGTCTCATGGCTCTGACATCTTCAACATCTTGGGGTCTCCATGCCAATTAGACTTGGCCTTTACAACTTCACCCAAGGGCCTCACAGGGCCTCTTGGCCTATCAGAGTCTTTTTTCTTGCAGAGACATCCTTGCCTGGTCTAAGCAACTCTTTGAAACCTCAGAGGAAGAACCAATGAATCCCTCACTCTTGTTTGTGCTACTGTACCACATAGATGACACTGCCAAATCAGGATATAGTTTGAGATGGACCTTGGCCCCCTTGGATCACATTTGCAGCTGCTTTTGTATGTTGTAGTTTTCAAAGAAGATAAAATTCCTTAGGCCATTTACTTTCATAAGCT